TCGCGTGAGAGGCAGAAGGAAGTTCGCGTGGGAGGCAGAAGGAAGTTCGCGTGGGAGGCAGAAGGAAGTTTGTGTGGGAGGCAGAAGGAAGTTCGTATGGGGGGGGGGGGGGGGCAGAAGAAAGTTCGTGTTGGGGGGGAGGGGGGGGAGAAGAAAGTTTATGTGGGGAGGGCAGAAGAAAGTTTGTGTGGGGGGGGGCAGGAGGAGGTGTGTGTGGGGGAAGAGATGCTTGCAGGGAGGGGGAGGAAATGAGGTGCATGTGGGGAAATGAGTAGCCTGGTTGCAAGAGTTGAAAAGCTTAAACTTGTCACATGTATATTACATAATTATTAGAAGTGCCCAGTTTAATTACCAATGGCCTGCATCATAATCTTACACTGCAGTGATAAAGACTATTGAAATTAAGTTAAAATAGAGGAATAAGGTGAAAAGTGAATAAGATTAGAGGAACTTTTCAGTAGTTTTAAGCTTTGCAAGCCCCACACACACAATAAAATATGAGGCAATTGCAAATTGGCTCCATATCAAATCTTACAATTGAGACTATAAATACAATTCTCATAAACAAGCACACTGGGATCATTGTCGATTAAAACAGGTCTAATTTATGCCGAGGAGCTACAGCCAATTTTTCCTATTGCCAAGCACACAGGTGGGCTCGTTAAACCATGTACAGTAGATACAAGCATTTAGTTGTATTGTTCACTCTTGGTATAGTGTTCTACTTTACCTGTATTTAATACAAAAGGCAAATCTGGTTGAAAATCAGCTCTTGTAATTGCACTACATTATTATATTCTGCTGGTAAAGAGTTGTTATGCAAACACAAAACAATAAAATTAATAGGACTATATAACAGCAGCCTATAAAATACAGCATTATATTTTAGATTCAATTGGTTATTAGAAAACCATGTTCACAATATTCAACATAGCCTAACCTATGATGACCTCCCAAACAATAGTTTAATATAACCTACAGTTCTGAACTGTTGTTGACACATTTCATGCAGAATCCATTTGTCAAGCAGTCCACTTCATCTCATTAGAATTAAAATAAAATACTTATTTCATTTATCTTGTAATTCAAGGGATCACCACATGCATTTCATTCATAGACCAGGTCTCCTGATTGATAACCTGAGCAGCCAGGCTGTTGGTGATTACAACTCTCAGTCCAACATATAGATGAACTCATAGCTAGCTACCTTTGGCCTAAACTCTGTAATCTGCCATATAAATTAGGGTAACAACACATTGCTATATTACCATAAGTCTGTCAATAAGAAAAAATTGACAAAAGCCTGGCTGATAAGGGACATTATGAAAGAATGAAATATTTACAACAAAAAATTACATATCAAGGGCATTATCCAGATTATTTTTGCAATGTTGTAAATATTTTTCAATAAACAAACAATGCGTGAAGAAGGATTAAGCTAAACAACAAACTTATTCTATTTTCCGTTGTGCTAAATATAAACAAATTACTTTTCCTGCCATCATTCTCACCGTATTCTAAATTAAAAAAAAATGAATTGCCAAGTCATTAATTTAAAAAAACATACCTGCCATACAATTTACATTATCTATAAAAAACAGAGCACAACCTCAGATTTTAGAAAATGCTAGTTTTATAACATTCTTTTTTCAACACATTCAGCTGTGTGAGTATGTATGTACATGTATACTTTTAGTCGAGTTGAAACATTCTAATCCAACCTAATTCATCCCCAGAAATCATAACCTAACAAAATATAAAGTTTGACAATTATAAAACAATCTATGTGCAAAATGTCTGTGTTCTATATGCCTACCCAATTTTTCATTGCATACTAAAAACTAAATACTATCTAGCCTCAACTTTTCCCAGACTAGTATAACATTATATTAGTACCCTGGCCTACTTATTTTCAAAAAGCAAAACCAATTCTTGTCTTTTTGTTATTTAAAGTCTAAATTTCAGTAGATCAGCAAATGAAGGCAAGTATTGCAGCGTGTATAAGAAATATTTCCCACAACAAAAATTATGGTACGCAGCATCCACATGATATTTTATTTCAAACTCATTTCATACTCTAGAAATAATGTGCAGCACTAAAACTAGGACAAGACTATTTTGAACAGTCATGTACAATTATTTTCAGCCACATTTACGAAGACAGTAAGTCACAATATACACTAGTTGGGAAATATAATTACAGATTAATGGAACACATTATCAAGTACAGTAACATTGTAGACGTAAACTCAGGTCCACTAGAAAGCTTCAAGAATAGTTTGTTAAATACACAACCTAAGTGGGAGTCATCAGCTGCAAATAGGAGCTGTTTTACAAAAGCCAACAGACCTTATGTAAATTCCTTTATTCTTATGCTCTTACTAAAAGTCTAATGACTACAATTATGACACCATAATGACAATAAAAATCCACCAAAAATTGTAAACAAAACCATACTCTATTACAAAACTATAAATCAGGATTGGATATTTAAAGGCTTATTGAATATACAATATAGTCAAGACTTGAGCATATATATATATCACCTCACAGTAATGAAAATCTCAGCACTTAAGGCACATCACCCAAGATAATGTTTATTCAACATTCATAAATAAGAATTATTTTTACAATACAGCACTAAATTTAAAAGACAATCTGAGCTAATTACTATTGACTACTAAATCATTTACAAATACATGTACGCTTTACATGTAATTCAGAATTATTCACTCAAATATAAATATCCAACTCCCCAGACACAAATTTACAAGCTACAGTACAGTACTTCATACCATGTTACCATTGCGAAGTACAGTATAATAAATAACAAAAATAACAAAATAAAACATACATCAACTATCAAAGTTAAACAATGTGTATATTTATAAAACTAAAAAAAATTAAAATACTGAACTATAATTAAATTAAAAATATATTAACAATTTGTTGGTTAAGGAAAGAGCTACAGAAGTCCACAAAATAATTAAGATATAAATTAATGACATGAAGGAAAATCAAATTTAGTTGACTGTCAAGGTCCAGTAAGGGGCAATGTTTTGTCAACAAAACAGCTTACATTTACAGTACATTAGAAGAATGGCTGTATAAAGTGCACAGCAAAGCCTACAGCAAGAGATTGTAACACATCTAAACAATACAAAACTAATACTATACTCTATACACTACAGTAGGCAATGTCCATTAGTGTATAGAAAATCAATTACCATTATTATAATTCAATGTGTACACACTTTCAACATGAAAATGTTATTTGTAATTCATTAGATGTAGGGTTATGTGGAATTTTCAGCACTAGCCGATGACAACAGTTCTCTACCGCAAACCAAAAACCTTTTTGTGTGATGTATGGCTCACTACATGGCGACAGCATTGTCGACTATTAGGTTCACCATAGGCTAGGCTACAAGTAAACCAGCACTGCCTTATCTAATCCAAATTTTACCTCTCCCCACAAATTTTTGGTTTAATATGAATATATGGCACTGAAAACTGTTACCGAATTTAACACACATCTGAGAGCAGTGCCAGTCACTAGTACAAGGAAATAACACTATGTACAGAACAAGGAAATAACACTGCCTAACATATTTTAAACTATTTTCATAACCTACTGTGCATAAAGAATGAGAACCACTGAAACACTTAAAATCTTTACATAATCATCATATTTAAGCATACACTATCTGGTATGGTAAAACTAGCAGCCAGTAATATTCTATGTTGAACCTAACCCTAATTAAACAAAAAAATCATTGTATTACATCTTGCTATGTATGCTTTAGGCAGACACTTATAAAAATAGAGAAATACTGTGTTCTATAAGCAAAAATTTTCTCTCACAGCAGACCATCAGTCATTACAATCTATATCTATTGAAATATATATCAGAAATTTGTGTTATCAACACCTATTGTATTTGCTTATTGTTTAATTTCATTATATCTCCCTGTATACACACGTACACATAGATACAGTTTGGTTATGAAAACTGCTAAACTTTTAGTTGTCATTGTGCACAATGTTTTGGTAAGACAAGTTTAATAACAATGAATGCTATCTGATTATATTATAACTATCTAGTTCTAAATATAGTGATTGTAGACCTAGGAAGCTAAAACAATTACTCTAAGGCAGCTCAATATTAGCAACATAAGAAACAACAACATTTCTTCAGTTGTCAAAATTGCATCATAGTAACAACCAATGAGCCTCCACTATATTTAATATTCTTATAGACTTCTCACTATCCTGGAATCACATTTGCATTAACAATCTTGACAGTGATTGCAAATAATGACCTAACAACATTTCAGACATTTTCACTTGGTGACACACCTCTATGTTTTGGGTTGTGGAGAGGTTGTACACAGTGATCAGGTCCAAAGTTACAACTAAATTCTTCATTAGGACCTGTCAGGACCCATCACTTTAGACATTACTGTAAATATGTGTTGTAGCTATCTATACCTGAACCATGTGTTGACAGTCACTTGCATGACAACAATCTTTGACATGTCTTCATCTTCAAGGAAGTTCACTAAAAAACACTCACTCGTGCTTTAAATTCCCAATAATAGCGAGATTTATCTTTAATACCAAAATGTGGACCCAATCCCATGAACAAACTAACTGCGAAAAGCTCACGCGAGACATGTCAATAGAGGGACATCAACATCACACAAAATTCCCCTTCACGGATGGCAATCTGAGGTCAATCCTAACCATTTTCCCCAAGTCCAGACGAGGAGAGAGAGAGCTTTATGCCGTGTGAGTGTATGTGAGGGTGTATGAGATGTGAGAGCGAGGCGTGAGGGTGTTGCCAGCCTCCACCTCCCTCCCTGGGGCCTGGCCAGGTACCACTGGCCCAGACACCACTCAGGTGGGCGTCTCATTTGGACCTCTCCACCCGCTAAATATCAAACTTTATCCCTGGTACAGGCTCATTTGGAGGCTGAGGTATTGAGAAATGAACTCACCGGTGGGGTCCGATGATGGGAAGGTGTCCATCTTGGCCCGCTTGTTGGGCGGCTCGCTCCCCAGCTGCTGCTCCGCCATGGCGTCCTTGTTTACAACGCGCTGCTCAACACACACCCAGGCCTACACTACACACCACTTTTATACTCAATCCTGAGCTTCCAGCGTCTCCGCGCCACTCGTATTGCATCATTACAACTCAATAGCACTATCACTCCACTTTAAGTGGGCATCCGCCACGGATCGCCGGGAAAATTGTAACTTTGCGAGGCAGACATCTCCTTGGTGGGATTTCACAACAGAGCTCTGCAGCTTCACTGACCGCTGCCGCCGCACTTCCCGCACCAAACACGCCAACATCCTTACTCTTTATCACAGTTTCTAATCTTATATGTACAGAAAATGCTTCTTGCTACGCTGATGTTGTAAAATAAGCCGTCCATATTAACATGAAGGCATATTATCCGGCGACAAAAATATTTTGCGCCGAGTAGTAGTCAAACCAAAATGGCGGCTCACAGTGAAAACTTTTTCTACGCTTGTCACAGAGTTTGGGAGCGAGTGTGGCTGCGCGAATCCGGCGATCTGGTTGGTCCTTTTGAGTCACGTGCTCACATCGCGCGCGCTCATTGGCAGGGGAGGATAAACCGAGAGTGACGTCAAGGGAGCCGAGCGGATCCGAGTCTTAATAGTTGTAAAGCTGACTGCGGCTCGCCGAGTAGCCATCCTCAGCATCTTCTCTGCGCAACATTGTTAATACCCGCCATGTTTAAATATGTCAGTCTCTGCCTCATGAACCGTATATAAGAAATCCAAAAACCCTAAAGTATCATAGGAAGGACTCGGGCGAGTTGCTAAACCATATAATACTGCTAACTAGAATACCGCATAACATTATGTATCACTAAAAGAACACTTTTAATAAAATAAACATTATAACTACAGAGTACAGTAAACTTTAAGTACTACAGCTTAAGTATCATGCAAGTCATCGTAACAATTTGAATAACAATAGCGCCAAGCAACAATAATCTGGGAAACAAGTTAGGGAGCGAGAGCTCGCAAAATCAGCTGTTGGGGCAGGTTGCGAGAGTTAAAGGGAAGGTGGGCGAGGACCCATACATTGTGGGGCAGTATTGTGGGTCGCTGCTCACTCCCATACCTCCCCACGCTAATCATCTCACTCTATCAAGGAACTTGGCAATATATATATATATATATATATATATATATATATATATATATATATATATATATATATATATATATATATATATATATATATATATATATATATAAAAATGTATATATATATATATATATATATATATATATATATATATATATATAAATGCACAACTCTCCTAAACACGAGAGTTAAGTATACAAGTGTGTTATACAAGTTAAGTATACAAGAAAGTGTTCTAAAGTTGTATATATATATATATATATATATATATATATATATATATATATATATATATATGTATATATATATATATATATATATATATATATATATATATATATATATATGCCGAGTATACTACTCGATTCAATTTCAATTTCTTTCTTTATTATGCATACTACTCGATTTGCCTAATAAGCCAAGTTTTTCTGAATTTATATATTTTTCTATTGTTTTCTTATGAAATGATAAAGCTATCCATTTCATTATGTATGAGTTAAATTGTTTAAATTTGAGTTAAAACTGATGTAGATATATGACCAAACCTAACCAACCCTACCTAACCTATCTTAACCTAACCTAAACTAACACAACTAGGTCAATAATTTATGTTCTTAATATTATATAATAATAATAATTCAAATAAACTAATTGCAAACAATTTATTGGAAATAAAGAAAATCACTCGGCCTATTAGGCAAATCGGGCCTTGCATAGTAGGCCGAGAAGTGCGTTCTGGCTACTAGGTACGACATATATATATATATATATATATATATATATATATATATATATATATATATATATATATATATATATATATATATATAATATATATATATATATATATATATATATATATATATATATAGTTAGTTTAGTTCATATATTATGCACCCCATACCCATCCCGTGGGCGGTAGTGGAAAGGGTTACAGAGGCACATAATGGGCTCAGGGACTGAACCCCACAATTCATTTAGCTAAGCAAGTTGCAATCTTGATGAGCTAGTTACAAAATTCAATATAAGTCGTCACATCAACAATGGGTTCGAGATCGACCTCAAGTACAGGTTCTAAATTAAGCAACTGACATATGTGGAGAGCTAGTGTCACAATTTATATGTTTGTCCTGCACACCGCCCCCCATCCAGTGGGCAGCGGTGGATAGGTTACAATCACTCAGTTACTACCTACAGTTAGCAAACTGGGGATATTTGGCTAAAATTTCTGGTAACAGATCATTTTGAATGAAATATTTACACATCGCTGGAACATTGGTTATAGAATTGTCTCTAAATTCACGTATCTTTTCGCACTCCATCACATAGTGACGGAGGGTGTGCGAATAATTTTGTTGACACAGTTTACATTTGGTCAGGTCTACATCAGCAGATAATGAGAATTCCCATATATATATATATATATATATATATATATATATATATATATGACAATGTCAGACCACGGAGGAAAAATGAAACAGGAAATTTCCTTAAGTACTTTCGTATATTAAATACATCTTCAGAAGGTAAATACATCTTCGACCTTCTGAAGATGTATTTAATATACGAAAGTACTTAAGGAAATTTCCTGTTTCATTTTTCCTCCGTGGTCTGACATTGTCACATTCTTAATCACGTGTTTATTTTCGTGATATACACACATATATATATATATATATATATATATATATATATATATATATATATATATATATATATATATATATATATATATATATATATATGCAATTGACGATCACAAAACACTGATCATTTTATGCGGAAAATCCACAGAGAAATATGAAATGAGGTGAACGTTTCGGCTTTGTTAAAGCCTTTGTCAACACCAGACTGACTCATTTCATATTTCTCTGTGGATTTTCCGCATATATATATATATATATATATATATATATATATATATATATATATATATATATATATATATATATATATATATATATATATATATATATATATAAGTCTCAGACCACAGAGAAAGAATTGAAACAAAAATTTCCTTAAGTACTTTTGTATATTAATACATCTTCAGAAGGAATAGAAATCCTTAATTCCTATTCCTTCTGAAAATGCATTAATATACGAAAGTACTTAACGAAATTTCTGTTTCAGTTCTTCCTCCGTGGTCTGACACTGTCACATATATATATATATATATATATATATATATATATATATATATATATATATATATATATATATATATATATATATATATATATATATAAACGGGGGGTACCACCTCTGGTGCAATTATAGGGACCCCACAGCCTCAAAGAAGGGAACACAGAGCATTCTCCTCGGCTACCATCATCTTTTGTCCGGTCGTGATGGTCGAGTAGTTAAGGTGTCCTGTACATCAGTTGCAGAGTGCTCCTGGCAGTATGGGTTCGAGTCACTTCTGGGGTGTGAGTTTTCGGTTTTATATACTGTATATAAACATATATAGTAGTCAGTCCACGGAGTCAGTAGTAGTAGTAGTCAGACCACGGAGGAAGAATTGAAACAGTAATTTCCTTAAGTACTTTCATATTTAATAATACATCTTCAGAAAGATATGGATAACTAAAACTGGAACTGAACTCAGAATGTATCAGCTTATAATTTGTAACAACGGCACTTTCCTGCACCGTGGGAGAATACACACTTTCCAATTTTAATCCCTCCCTCTCCACCCAAGAACCAAATTAGAGATCAGCCCAAGCTTCGTCTTGAGGCAAAGCTCAATGACTTAAGCCATATTAAAGCTCTGTCCACATTGCATTCACTTTCTCAAATCATACACAATGATTTTTCCCTACACCGCCCTACGGGTGCAGCTGGAAGTACAGTTGTCCTGACACTGGGGGATGGCCAATATTTTGTGTGGGGAGTCCGTATAAACAACTGGGCCTCTACACTTCAGACCGAACTATTTTTGTCTTGCTTCTTACACTAAAATGTGTACAAGTCTCCAAACTTGATACAATAATTGTAAGTGACTTTATCATCCTTAATTGCTCTCAAATCTTTAAAACTTAACTGTAAAATGTTCGTGTCTGAAGTTAGACACATATACAACAAAATTATTAATGATTGTAACACAGTCCATTTCATGTGGACTCCATCTCGTGTTGGCCTCCGAATGCATGATAGAGCTGATGAGTTAGCCAAAGAATCTGCCTTTGAAGGAGAAATTGAGTATAACCTTGAAGTGTCGATAAGCAGTCTGAGAGCAATAGTACAACAAGAACTTCAACAAAATCTTGCAGATCTGAGGCAAAGAGAAATCGACACCAATAATTCTATCATACTACAGCATCATGCAAGAGGAGCCACACGTCTGAATTCCTGTCCTCATCGAGGCCACTTATGTTGGTGGCCCTCGATGAGGACAGGAAGCCGGTTGCTTGTCAAATGTCCCCCATTTGTCCTGATGATTTTTGCCAGCTGTATTTTAAACCCTAGTTTTAAGTTTTGGTGTTTACGGCTTCGGCGGGTAGGCGGTTCCACGAGTTTACAACCCAATCGGTGAAAAGGTATCTCCTGTTTTCTGTCCCACATTGTGGTTGTTGAGCGTGAACCCGTTACTCCTCGTTCGTGTTAAATCTGACCCTTTGAAGAAATTGTCTGGATCGACAATCAGCGCCTGACAGCTGAGTGGACAGCGCTTCGGATTCGTAGTGCTGAAGTTCCGGGTTCGATCCCCAGTGGAAGCGGAGACAAATGGGCAAAATGTTTCTTTCACTCTGATGCCCCTGTTACCTAGCAGTAAATAGAGACCTGGGAGTTAGACAGCTGCTAAGGGCTGCTTCCTGGGGGTGTGTAACAACAAGAAGGCCTGGTCGAGGACCGGGCCGCGGGGACGCTAAGCTCCGAAATAATCTCAAGATAACCTCAAGATAACCTGACACCTCCAAATAGTTCAGTATTTTAAAGGTTTTAATGAGATCCGCCCTGTCATGCATGGTTTGCAGTGTTGTCAGCCCAGTGGCCCTAAACAGTTCCTGACACGTGAGATGACTAAACTCTGGTATGATTTTTGTTGCCCGGTGTTGCACCTTCTCCGTAGCAGCTATGTCTTTCTGAAGATGAGGTCTCAATACCTGGATGCAATAATCCAGGTGGAGGCGCACCAGAGACTTATACAATTGAACGATTACTTTCTTTTCCTTGAAGATAAAGGTATGCTTGATTATTCTAAGGGTTTGTTTCGTTTTTTTTTTACTGCTGCTCCCACTTGTTCTGTTGTGCGACTTTTAGTCAGTGATGGATTCTGACTCCAAGGTCCTTTTCTTCACCTATCTGTTGTAAGGTAGTGCTGTCAGTTTGGTAGTTGTTTACGTGGATT